GCCTATAGTGGCCTCTCTACTTGCACTTAACAGTAGCAGGAGAGTTATTAAGACTGCACTCAGGTCAAGTTATGTTACAAATTCATTTATTCAGGGGTTTTCTCTTTCTCATATGCAGATTTCACTTCCATTGGGAATATTCCTAGGAATAGCTGGGACATATGGCAAGTTTATTTGCAATTCTCCAAGCACTCTCCATACTGATTTCCACAGTGGTTGTACTAGCCTACACACCCACCAGAAGTGAAGGAGGGTGCCTTTCTCCCCACATCCACGCCAGCAGGTATTGTTAGTTGAGTTCTGAATGCAGACCAGTCTCACTGGAGTTAGGTGGCACCTCAACGTGGTTTCCATTTGTATCTCTGATGGCTAGGGAGCCTGAGCATCTCTCATATGTCTGTTAGCCATTTGAATCTGTTCTTTTGAAAAACGTTTTTTCATTTCCTTTGCCCATTTTGTTACAGGGTTTTTTTTTTTTTTAAACTGTCTCTGGGTTTCTGAAGCTCTTTGTAAATCCTGGATCTTAGTCCCCTATCACTTGTATATTGTGCAAAAACTTTCTCCCATCGTGTTGATTGTCTCTTCACCTTAATTGTTTCTTTTGCTGTGCAGAAGTTTTTTAGTTTGATGTAGTCCCGTTTGTTCATTTTGATTTTGATTGCTTTTGCTTTTGGCGTTTTTTTCTAAGAAGTTTATTTCTCTGTCCTGTATCTTGGAGAGTGCTTTCTATATTTTCCTTTAATAGTCTGGTGGTTTCTGGGTGTAGATTTGGGCATTTGAACCATTTAGAGCTGATTTTTGTATAATTAGACAGGTGCAGGTCTTGCTTCTTAATTCTGCAAGCTGCTATCCTGTTTTCCCAACAGCATTTTTTTGAAGAGACCAGGCTTTTTCCCTGGATTGTTTTCAGTTTTCTTGTCCTAGATTAGTTGGCTGTACATGTGTGGGCTCCCTTCTGGTGTTTCTATTCTGCTCCATTGATCTTCTGCTCTGTTTCTGTACCAGTACCAGGTTGTTTGGATGACCACTGTTCTGTCTTGAGCCTGGAATTGATTCCTTCCGCTTGATTTTTATTCTTCAGTATTACTTTGGCTATTTGTGGTCTCTTGTGTTTCCAGATGAATTTTGTATCTTCTTTTCTATTTCTGAGAAGAATGTTGTTGGGCTTTTGATTGGGATTGTGTTGAATCTATATATTACTTTTGGTTATATGGTCATTTTGACGATGTTGATCCTGCCAATCCAGGAACATGGCAAGTATCTCCATTTTTAAATGTCTTCTATTTTCTTTTTAAATGTTTTATACTTTTTCATCATAGAGGTCTTCCACATATTTAGTTAGCTTAATTGCTAGGTATTTAAGATTCCTTTCCTCTATTTTAAAGGGAACTGTACTTACAATTTCTTTCTGCGCTATTGCTGCCTCTTCCCTGTATCCAGGCAGTCTCCAAGCATTCCCTGGCCTACTGCCTGACCTCTATCTTTCTCTGTACTCTGCTTCTTGGGTTTCACTCTGTCTAAAAATTCTTTGTCATCCCAACTGTGTCTGCGTCCTATGCCACCATCTTGCTTCTCCAAGTACGCTCACTTTCAATTTTCATTTGACTTTTGGGCTTTTCCCTTTGAGGTGCAGGACAGCCGATTTCTCTCCAGGACTCTGTGGGGAGGAATCTATCTTTCTTGATATTAGAAACAATGGGAGGAGTCAGAGATTTGCTTTTTCACACAGAAACTCCTGGGGCTTGGCATCAGGAGGTTCATAATGACAGTCCAGTTCTGCCCCTCTTCATTTTTGGCTCCTTGGCTGTATCCACTGGAAGGGCCAGAGGCCCAGAGAAGAATCACAGTTGTCCTGCTACAAGTCCAAGGTATCTTGAAAACAGTGCCATCTTTTTACTCCTTTAGTGTTTCCACAGGTACTAAATTAAGCTGATATGCTGTTGTGTAAAACACACATTCTTCCTGATCAAATAGTCTTGTGATTTTTAGCCAGTCATTTTATTTTGTCATATCTGTTTCCTTATTTCCAAAGTTCGGGGGGAGGGGAGGTGCCTTTCAGGTGGTTGTGAGATTTCTATAAGACATGCAGAAATGTAGTATGGTACCTGATGTGTGGTAGCTGCTCAATAAATGAGCACTGTTCTAGTTTCCATTCTTTCTTTTCTCATCCACCAACACTAACCTTGGTGCCATGGAATTAAGAGATGGCTGAAAGGTCTCACAAGTATTAGAAGGAAAGGCATACTGGAAGTGGGAGATCGCATTTTTAGTCCACCATCAGCTGTTTTTTTTTTTCTCTCTTTAGAGAAGATTATCCCTCCACTTTGAGTTTAGTGTTCAGGGGTATATTGCCCGGGAGACAGTCCAACTAGAAGGAAAACTATGGGCTGAAGTGATCAGATCAAGCTGAAGGATATGGAAAAGAACAAAACTGTGGTTCTTCACTTTGGCCTTGGGGAAAGAACAGCTAAGTGAGAACAAGAGAACTGAATCAAAATCTTTCCCTTAGTGTTTTGGTGCTGACTCCAGGGGTTAAGGCAAATGGGGACCGGGGGCTGGCATTAGCTCCATCTGCACTGACAGGTTACCTTTTGATCACCCTTCTGACACCAGGAAGAGGGTGTGATTCCATGGCCAGCATGAGCCTTCCCATCCCAGAAGTATCCCAATTATTTTAAAGGCCCAAAGGAATGATTGGAATTGGATGGGAATGGAGACTGCAAAGTGTATGTTAAAAACTACTAGAAATATAGATTATTTTATTTCTTACAACCTAGTCAAAAACAAAAGAACTAGATCCCTTTTCCAAGCAAATATAAATGTCTTGGCCTGTTTTTGTGTTAACTCTCTGTGTCCCAATGACAAAGGAGACACACTTAACAGTAATGAAGTAGTCCCCCAATGGAATTGGATAACAACAATAACTCAGATGCAGTAGTCAATAAATACCATGTCCTCTGAGCTCCAGATGAGAGAAATACAACACATGACATGGAAGACACAGCATGCTTCCAGCTTTGGCACAATGGGCCACTGTGGCCTTCTAACCCAGACTGGACAACATGATGTTCAAAGGCAGGCCTTGAGAGGCACACCTGGGTTTGAAAATGGGCTTTGTCCCTAACCAGCCATGTATGATTTGAGAAACTGACTCAACCTGTCTACCTCATTTCTCCATGTTTCAAATATCTGTTATTGTCCCCTATGCTAATAGACTGCTGTGAAACTGAACGAGTACATATGGATACTGTGCTCAGCGTGAGCTGCTGCTGCTGTTGACTCACTCTGGAAAGACCTTTCATTTCTTATGCACCCATCTGTCTGCACCTCGTAATGTGAGTGTTCTGAATTCTGGTGCTGTCACTTACCATACATGCCCTAGCAAATGCTATTTTCTCTTCCTGAGCCACAGTTTCACCTTCTACAAATTGAAAGCAATAATGATTTCTTACAGATGAAATATTAATGCTTTTAAGTGTAAGTATGTAAGTAGATGACAGTAAATGTCATTACACCCAGCCCCTTGACAACCAATGGAAATGAATGCAGTAGTCCTGCGGTATCAGGAAGTAAAACACTGTGGATGGTACAGTCCATTATGCAATTACAAGCAAATGGCTGCTCTTACCATTAGGAAATCTGAGACAGGTCAATGTAAACAAATCTCCCTCATGCTGTCCTGATGGCACTGTGAATTTACTGAAAACTCATTTCTGGGTTTTTAATTTTTAAGCATCCATTACAGGTTGGTGATAAATAGCTTAGGGATGGTATTTTATAGTGGGCAGATTTTTAGACAAAATATTTTAAAGGCCAAGTTGGTTTTTGTTTTAAATTTGGTATGTTAATCTGTGGTGGTCCTGAGCATTGTTGTACCTACAGGCCTTCTTTACTGTGACTCAGAGATAAGTTGCAGACACGTTCTCCTTCACAGCTAAAGCTCTAAATGAGTCTTTTTGGGGCTTGGTGTTGTTGAGCAGTGAGTTAAGCTGCCAACTACAATGCCAACAATCCCATAAGGGTGCCAGTTAAAATCCTGGCTGTTCATTGCAAATCCAGCTACATGCTGATGTGCCTGGAATGCAGAGGAAGATAGCCCAAGTATGTGGGCCTCTGCCACCCACATGGGAGAATTGGATGAAGCTCCTGGCTCTTGACCTCAGCCTGGTCCGCCTTAGGCCATTATGGTCATCTGAGCAGACGGTTCCTTGTCTCTACCACTCTCTACAACTGTGCCTTCCAAATATAAATAAGTCTTTCTTTTAAATGAGTCCTTTTTGAATTGCTTGATTTAGGAGTCCTGGAATTTAAATTTCATCCAAATGAGTTTGAGAGTAATGTTCTTCTCTACAATACTGCAGCTCACCAAATAACCATCTCTCTACCGGACGTTAGTATGCCTCTGCACCATCGGAACAATCTAAGAATAGGCCTTGCTATTTTCAACTGTAACAAATTCTAAAAGAGTTACAGGTCTGATATAAAAATGAACAAAACACAAAATATTTACATTTCCTCCAGGGACCTTGTAGTTGGTTGGAACCACTCAAGTTTTTCTTTCCTCAATCAGACATTACTCACTGTGACCTAGAATGTACTTTTGAATGTTGTTTTTTTATTTAAAAATGTTGATATCGGGCCTGGTGCAGTGGCATAACGGTTAAGGTCCTCGCCTTGCATGCCCTGGGATCCCATATGGGCGCCAGTTCTATCCCGGCAGCCCCACTTCCCTTCCAGGTCCCTGCCTGTGGCCCGGGAAAGCAGTCGAGGACCACCCAAAGCTTTGGGACCCTGCACCTGTGTCGGAGACCCAGAAGAGGCTCCTGGCTTCGGATCAGCATAGCACCGGTCATTGCGCTCACTTGGGGAGTGAATCATTGGACGAAAGATCTTCCTCTCTGTCTCTCCTCTCTGTATATCCGCCTTTCCAATAAAAAAATAATAAAAATAAATCTTAAAAAAAATGTTGATATCCCCATAGTTCTCTGAACAACACTGGGGATCAATTGGTGGTTTTGAATAAGTTTATTTAGTCTTTGCTACAACATCTTTTGCAGTGAAATTTCAGTCGAAGACTTTTAGTTAGGCACTATTTCATCCTCCTTAGTAACAAGGTTGGAAGGTGTTTTCTTTCTTTCTGGCATAATAAAATCAGCCTGTCCTGGTGAAAGCTTAGGAAAAGTGTAATTGATGTATTTTTGAAATGCTGCCCTGGTTTCCTCTAACTCTTCCTCCAGAAATTCTTTCCAGTTTGTCATGATTCCCAGTTGTTTCACAATGGTCAGCAGCTCCCCCTGTGTGTCAACCAGTTTACCCATCACGTTGCCAAGCACGGCCTTATGTGTTTTCTCTGCTTTCTGTATCACTTCTTGTACCTCTTCTTGCCTCCGCTTCTGAGCCATGCCAAATAAGAGGTTCATCTCATGTTCTTTTGCTCTCATCAACTGGGTCATAGTTGTCTTCTGATCCTTAAGAACTGATACACCACTACTCACAAGCTCCTCGATGGCTTTACTGCAAAAGATAACATGAATTTGTAAGCTAGAAGGATTAGCCACCAACAAAATGATTTTGTCTGTAACCACAAATAGAGGAGAAACCATGACACTGCTGAAGGGAGCCTGGAGGCAGGCTGCTGTCGATGAACTTTTGGACTGTGTTCACTGTCAACAGCTAAAACCTATTTTTCAGAAGAGGGAAGCTTTCTACTGACTTCCCCATGCTGTGGACCAAGGGGAGGCTACTTATCAACCATCTATCTGAAACTTAAAAGACCTGTATATATGTTGACCAGAAAAAAATATGAATCCACTGAGCTAAGAAACAAACAGGATAGCCCCTAAAAGAAATATTTCTATCACTATGTAAAGACTGTCAAAACTATAATTTAAAAAAAAGAAATATTTCTATCAACCCATTTGCTTATAATCCCCTACAAGGTAGAAAGCTTCCCACTCATAGGCTGAATTTATTTAATCTTAAGTCATGGATTATACTTGGAAACCAGCAAGAAATGATCCATAGACCTCTGGTAGTAATGTTAGGGGTTATACCTAGTCTATGTGCCAAGCAGGCTGGTGAGCTTCTGTGCACACTTCAACTCCTCAAAAACTGTTTCTCTGAGGTTAGTTTATGATTATGCCCATTTTATGACAAGGCCACTTAAGCTTGGAGAGGTCAAGCAACCTGGCCACATTTACTTAATTAGGAAAGGTGTCAGACATTGCACCCCAAATCCAAGACAAAAGCTCATAGCCAGTAGAATTCACTTCTAGTTCAATTCCATAATTCCTAATGAAACCCTTGATCGTTGGAGGAGACTATAAAGGTAATCAGCAATACTCCTGGGGTCTCGGTCAGAAAGAACTGGAAGGAGGCTTCTTGTTGCAGCCCTGAACATGAAAAGAAGATGCTCTGCTCCTTAGGTATCCTCCTTATGGATTCTGTCACAAGCAAGCATCAGTTTCTTGGAACGTCAGCCTGGCTTTCTCCTTGCCCACACACAGGAGATATTCATTTAGAAAGTTCCACCAGAGCCAGCTTCAGGTGAATCTGATACAGTGAAGCATATCTTGATTGTTCTTGCTCCTACCCTCAACGATAGCACATTTTAAACTCCCAGTTTGTTCTTGCTAGAGGGATCTGATACATTCATCAACCAGCCTCAGAGTCTGAATTTTGACACTTTAGGACTCATTACTTTTTGTTTACGGTCAGGGGGTCTAGGAATTTTATTCTGGTAATTTCTTTGAAGTAGTCGAATTGATGCCAAGGGTAGGGAGGGTGAAGTGCATAAAGTTGGGATCCGAAAGACCTGTTTGTATCTCCTCTGCCTGACTTGGTGCCTGGAGTGGACACCAAATGGAAATCAATGAACATGTGAATAAATAAATGGGTCCTATAGATATAGTTCTCTTTTAAAACATTCTGTTGTGTCAAATAATACCATATTTTAAAACAACAAACAAAATACCATATTTTAAAACATTAAATGGTTAAAAAGGGGTCTCTAACATAATCAAAATATTCAACCCAGGATAAATCTGAAGGTTTGTGGCATATACATATTCTTTTTGTTTTATACAAATTAGTCTACATGCATTTCCTTCTCCTCAACAGAGGTCCTGGAAAGCAAATCATATGAGGAAAGACTGAATAAGATAGATATATTGGCAGTTTCGGTTTTTTTTTTTCTTTTTCCAACTGAAATCTCGGACATAATCAATTGTCCTCAAATATCTGAAGTGTCACTTCAAATATCAGAAGGGGCACAGCCAGAGGCCATCAGTAGAAACGAGAGTGAGATGCAGCACATTTTGGATCCACATTGGGAAGAATGTAGCAGAGGTGTTCAGTTTGCAGTAACATTCCTGTCAGGAGTAGGCTCACCAACTGTGTCTGGCATCTACCAGTGGGGAGGCAGGCTCAGCTCCATCAACTCCATGCCCATTCAGCCTGACATGAATTTCCACATACTCTCTGTAAACAGTGAAGCTCATCTTCCAGCTCCATCTTTTTGAGGCTATGACATGGAAGTTTGAAATACAAACTAATTTTAAGGTAAGGGCTAGCTGGAAGTACAACTGCTTGAAAAATAGTTGCAAGGCGTATCTGCATCTACAGAATTTAGTCTGATATGTCATCAAATGACTTCTCTACTTCTGAGTAAAAGATGGACTCCCAGTGAAACTGTGAAATATATCTAGACAACAGGAATGTTGGACTTTCTACCACTGTCTGTACCCACAATGTCATGATACATTTAAATAGAAGAATGAGGACTTGTGACTGTTGTTGAAAGATACTATTTTTATAATCTAGGGGAAAACAGTGAGGAAGAGGGGCAGTGGATAGGGTTGATGGAGAAATTGCTGAGTTTAAGGAACCGTATCATGAATAAGAATAATAATGGCTTCTCCAATTATAAAGAGTACTAAATAGAAGCATAATATAATATCTAATAACTCAGTTTTGGGGGCTGTTGAGTAGAAAATCGAGCAGGGAAAAATCCATGCTAGCAATGAGTTGTCCTTTGTTTCTGTGCAGGGTTGGGGAACCTTTTTCTACTAAGGGCCAATTAGACAATTATAACATCATTTACAGGCCATAAACAATTATAAAAGTTAGCCTGCTATAGATTTGTTTAATTTTGAGTCACACTTGTAGTTACCTAGGCTGGCCCAGACCAAATGATTTTGTGGACCTTTTATGTTCTGCACCACTGCTTGGGGGTTCTCACAGTTCTCACTGTTTTGGGGCAGCTATTAAAATGGTATAAGAGCTATTGCTAACAGGTTTAAAAAATATTATCACTGGGTGTTTTTCCCTTCTATTTAGTATGTGAACTTTTAATTTTGCATGTATATGTTGCTAAGAGCAACCTTTTCTATGTGTCCATCAGCAAAAATCTTGAGTCTTACATGGTAAGAACCAGTGCTTCATTTCCCATCCAGGTAATTTCTAAATTATGAAGGGAATTTTTACAAAATTCATTTCTATATAAAGTGTTCGGAGTGCTGTTGGACACACAGATTGTTTATTTGGTTAGCTCCTAAAGGAATATAGGAATTCCATCATAAAGAAACAAAAGGTTTTGCACATATTGGGTGTTGAATAAAGAGTACTTGTTATTAGGAATTATAGCCATTATCACAAAAATTCCTGAGTGACCATTCATTCCTTGCCTTAGGCTAGAAAACAATTAGAATCCTTCCAAGAGATGCTTATTTAAAAAGAAAAAGACTCTGAAAGAAAGAATTCAGTGCCTTCTAGCTAATCTCTTTAGAATCTAATCACCCAATCCACACACAAAAGTTTTCATGCACTTTATAAATTTCTCATAATTTGTATGCATTCTTAATCCTTAAGTTTTCTATAAAATTATCTGTACAAATAAAAGATCTAAAGTAAAACTGTAAACAGCAGTGTTTTTCCATATATTAGCTTCTGTAAATACTCAAAAGGGCACTGGAATCCAGACCTAGAAATAAAATCTGGTGTGTTGGAGAGCAGTTTCATTAAGGAACTAAGCTGAACCACTTGCTCAAGGCACAGTTGAATAATGGCTACCACGTACCAGGCACTCTTTCAGACTTATGCAAAGCATCAACACACAAAATGGACATGCTAGTTGGATGCATGTAACAACAGACATGAACATTCCCTGATCATCAGTCTGTTTATGCAATAAAAGGCTGACATTTAAACCTTCTATTTAATCTTCACAGAGGTAAGGGCTGGTGGAAGCTGAAGTCAGTAAACCAAGACAGGGAGCAGGAGCCAGCCAGACCCACTGAGGAGGGGCCCAAAGGTGCCAGGGCTGCAGCAGACAGAGGAAATTAAAAGGTGTGGAGGAGAAGAGGAGGCCCCTCCTTTCCTGCACTGGATCACAACTCATTCTGAACCTCCTCCTGCAACCCTGTCTCACCTTGCTCTTCTGCCTCTGCAATGACTGACAGCCCATCCAGGCAGGGAAGTACCACTGCAAACAGCCACAGATGTACATGGCACCTGTGGGCATCCATGCCTCTGAAGGTTCTTCCCTTAGCCCTGTTCTAAACAGTTCCAGTGAAATGATTTTATGCTTTAATCATAAAATGCATTCAGTTGTTACCATGAGCAGCAAAGAAAATAGAATAATTCATAAACTAGGGCCCAAGAAGGGAGTTCATACTCTCAGCTGTGCTACAGCTTGGTAACTTTGGGCAGGTCACTTAACATTTGCAAGTTAGAGTTTTCTTTTGTCCCTGACAATCCCTGGTGTCCCCTAATACTCACTGCTGAAATAAAAATGGTTGTGTGTGTGTGTGTAAAATCTAATCTGTATAAAATTATTTGTAATTATGTACAATATATGCTATTTTAACAAACTATCTCCCTTTAAAAATTATTTATTTATTTAAAGGGAAAAAGAAACAGAGAAGCAGAGAGAGATAGTCATTAAGCATTTTGTTCCAAAATTTGCTTGTTCATCGCAACAGCCTGGGTTGGGCTAAAATCAGGAGTTGGAAGCTAGGAGTCAATTCAGGTCTCTCATGTGAATGGCAAGAACCCAATTTACTTGAACTATCACCCCTAATCCCAAGGGTCTGGATTAAAAAGAAGCTGGAGGGCTGTCTCGATGACATAATGGGTAAAGAGGCAGCCTGTGGTGCAGGTATCCCAATGGGTTAGAATCCTGACTTCTCCACTTCTGATCCAGCTCTCTGCTAAAGTGCCTGGGAAAGTAACAGAGAATATCCCAAGTGCTTGGGCCCCTATACCCACATGGGAGACCCAGAAGTTTCTGGCTCCTTGCTTTAGACCAGCCCAGCTCTGGTGTTGAAGCCACTTGAGAGTGAACCAGCAGATAGAAGATATTTCCCTCTCCTCTCTTCTACTCTCTGCAAATAAGCCTTTCAAATGAAAATAGATAATTATTAAAGATTAGAAGAAGAAAGCTGGGATCAGGAGTTAGAGTAGGGCACTGATGCCAGGCACTTCAACACAAGAAGGGATGGGACAGGAAAGCAATGAGTTGGGACTTCCATTTTTGCTCTATACTTATATATTTTCTTACCATCTACTTTTTTTCCCCCAAAAATGTACTACTTTGACATAACCACAACAGCATATGACTTCCAGGCTACAGAATGCAAACATTGTCTTCTGTGTATTACTAGGACCATGTTATTCCATTCTTCCCCCTCAGCTCAAAACTGGTATACAGAATGAAACAGACAATCTTTACAAGAGTGCTTATCTCATGACAGGGAGGGAAGGAGGTATGAATGAGGACAAACACATGGAGGTATTGGGATGTTTTGATACCTAAAGCTAAGTGCATAGCTCCTTGAATGTTTATGCTACTATTTATCTTAAAGCCACACACACACTATACAATTTATACATCACTCTGTGTTTGATATATTCCATTAGACAAATGTTAAATCAAGAAACCAGGCAATACATAACTGTGCACCTTGACCTTACTCCTCTTACACTGATTCAATAAAAGTTGTAAATGCAGTCCTTGAGTTACCTCTTCTGGGCCTGGATTACTTCCTCGGCGAGCTTCCTTTCTTCTTCCCTGGCTTTCTGCACAGCCTCCATCTTCTCCCTGTGGCACTCCATCATAATCCTCTGGATTCTGTGGACCATGCGCTGTTCCGCAGCCAAGTGTTCTCTCTTCAGTTCATCATCCATGTTGGCGAATACTTCCGTCTTGGTTTTAATTGCCATTTCCTTAAGTAACAGAAAAACTAGGTGTAAACAGAGCAGCATTTAAAAACACTCTCTAAAAGGCCATGTCAGGCCTAGCTGAAGTGGGACACTTAAGCCAAGCAGTGAGCATCCTACCACCCTTTAGGAACCCTTGGGTGGACCCCCCTTACATGCCAATCCTCTGAGAGTAAGGACAATCCATTTAATCTCACCCAGTACAGACTCAATGTATAGCAGGTGCTCATTTTGAAGAAATAGGGCCACTGTCTCTGAGCTCTGGTCGCCATGGTCTGACTCAGACCACACATGGGGCTGAGGCCCATTGCTTCCCTCCAGCCTCTGACTACTGCACTTTGTCCTGTACTTTTCCTCATTGGCCAAAATAGGCAAATACTTCTGTCCTTTTGCTTTGAAATACTTTGTTAACCTAGGTACTGAACTGACCAATGAATCCTGAAAGCTTCAGTCTGGGAGGCCAACCAAAGGAGTCTATGTGAACAGGTTACTAGTTAGAGTTATCCTTTGCATGTGGCTGCTAGTCCTGCAGGAAATACACAACACAGCTCAGATGTCCCTGACAATCTTCAGGGCTCTCAACCAATCTCTAAGTGAAACAAAACCTGTGTTTTGTTCTTGATCTCTTGCAAACTTAAGTAAAAGTATTTATTTACTACCTTAAAAAGCAAACAAGCTGGGCCCATTGCGATAGCATAGTGGTTAAAGTCCTCGCCTTGCATGTGCTGGGATCCCATATGGTCACCAGTTCTAATCCCAGCAGCCCTGTTTCCCATCCAGCTCCCTGGCTTGTGGCCTGGGAAGGCAGTCGAGAACAGTCCAAAGCTTTGGGACCCTGCACCCGTGTGGGAGACCTGGAAGAGCTCCTGGCTCCTGGCTTCAGATCAGTTCAGCTCCAGCCATTGCGGTCACTTGGGGAGTGAATCATCAGATGGAAGATCTTCCTCTCTATCTCTCCTCCTCTCTGTATATCTGCCTTTCCAATAAAAATAAATAAATCTTAAAAAAAAAAAAAGACAAGCCATTATTAAAAAAAAACCTGTAAATCTTTTTGATGTTTCTCTTCTAAAATTTTAATTTCAAATTTGTGTCTGTCATTTGCTTCTTCAAGTGCTTTTTCCACTGCTTGTTTTTGGAGTTCATTAGCCTAAAGGATGAAAAAAAAAAATACGTATCTGCTAGTATATTAGGATGAACAGAGGGTAACATTTCCTTATTTGGGATGTTTGCAAACACACTTTCCAGTTTACTAAAATTAGCAACCACCTCGTGGGTCTCTAAATTACTTGATCCAATTCCTATCTCAAACTTCTTGTAGCAAACTGGCTGACTTATCCTGTGGTGCCCTAACTCATCTCAGCCCTGGACTCACACGGCCACTTCAGGAATGGCTAATGACAGGGAAGCTTTACTGTCAGTAGGCAGCTGTGTTCTCTTCTCCTTCAAACTTTATTAATTTCTTGCTCAACTGGCTATGAAGTAATGAATGCTTGCCATAGAAAATCCAGGAGACAAGGATGTGAGATGCGCAACACCGAGCCAGCTGCGTGCAAGGACTAGTGCAGGATTCCCTTTCTCAGAGGTTCAGGAAGTTTTATTACCTTACTTGAAGAAATTTGGAAAGTTTTTAAACTTCATTGTAACTCTAGGTAAAGTTACATTCATGCTGTATATTCATAAAAGCATCCTTTTAAATGTATAACTAATGGCTCACCTGGATTTTGTTACTGACAAAAAGAGATGACCACTAAAGGTATGACACATATTGCTTTTTGCCCTGCAGTAATTTAAATGTTTAAAATACTTTCATGCCAAGCTTTGTTGGTGCTAATGCCAAATAATTCTAATATTTTGTGAAGTAAAGGTCTACTTTATAAAGAAACCAAGAATTATTGTTTAAGCCAAGTGGCTTGCCCAACCCTCCAAACGTGTAAAAGCTCCTTTATGTCATTCTACTGATGACTGGAAGAATTGGGAATTTCAAAATGGAGGCTTTGCTTTGATTTTGTGTTTTGGATCCCTCTGTGAGTGCAACATTTCAACTGTCATTTCAGCACCTGGCAGTCATGTGATCAAGATGATAAGCATCTTGGAGAGAGGGATGGAAGCAGGACTAGCACATGACGAAGCACCTGGAAAGAAAAACAGCATGGGCCAGTGACGTATAGCCATGCTAAGCATGGGCGCATCAACTTCCCATATGAGCACAAATTCGAGTCCTAGCTTCCTAGTTGCTCCATTTTTGATCCAGCTCCCTGTTTACAGAATGGGAATGTAGTGGAGGATGGCCTAACTGCTTAGGCCCCTGTATCCATGTTGGAGACCCAGAAGAAGCTCTAGGCTCCCGACTTTGGTTCAGCCCAAATCCAACCATTTGCAGCCATGTAGGAAGTGAGCCAGCAGATGGGATAGCTCTCTCTCTGTGTCCTTCTCACTCTGCAATTCTGCCTTTCAAATAAAAATAAATAAATCTTTTTCAAAAGTCACATAGTTCAAGATATTACACACTATGCAAGTGGATGATTTTTTTATATTAAATGTCAGGCCCTAATGAATAATCTTCACCATGATTGTCCTATTACATTTTAGTTGTGATCTACTGAGAATGAAGAAAACAGTAGCTGTCCATATTAAGGTAGCAATTTAGAAGGAAGCTCTGAATGATCCGTGCTTCTTACTCTGCACCTGTTATGTATTCCATTGACCTCTCTCAACAGTTCTGTAGAGTGGGTATTTGCAATCGCTCTTCACAGATGGAGAAGCCATGATGAGACAATACTCGTGGTCCCAGCTAGGTTCAGTCAGTTCTGCCTGTCTCTGCAGTCTCTGCCCTTGACTATTCCACTAAACAGAGTCCTCATAGGAAACGTGTATTATGAAAAAACTATGTAAGGATTTCAAAAATATTCTGGACCAAACTAGATTTCTTTTAGTTATATTTTCCACACACTTTTTTGAAGAACCTTTGTGTTTTTTTTTTCAGGCAAATTCCCAAAGTAAAAAAAACTGTGAGATGTACTTTATTAAAAAATTTTACCTGATTCCATACATCAGCTTCTGCTTTTGCAATACGTTCTTTGAGTGTAGCCTCTTGGCATTTCTCTTCTTTATTCAGAATACTTTCCCCAATATCTGTGTATTGGAAGACAAATGATCACTCGTCTCCACAGACTATTTCTGTGGCTTTCCTTTTTACTGTTACCTGGTTATTTATTGAGAGTTATCTGATAAAGAGCTCCTTTTAAAAAAGGTCCATCTTTTCTTTAAAAGTAAACACTGGGGCCAGCATTATGGTATAGCAAGTTACGCCTCTGCCTGCAACGACAACCCATATGAGCACCAGCTGCTCCATTTCTGATCAAGCTCCCTGCTCGCGCACTTGGGAACACAGCAAAGAATGGCGTAGGTGCATGAGCCTCTGCGCCCATGTTGGAGAGTCAAAAGGAGCTCCTGACTCCTCGTTGCAACCTGGATCAGCCATGGCCTTCATAACTATTTGGGAAGTGAATCAGCAGGGGGATCTGTCTCTATAATCTACATTTCAAATAAAATATTTTTACAAGAAAAAAAAACATCGAAAGGACACGTTTCCTCCTATCTGATTAGGAGGGAACTCACAACATTGTCAGATAAGGAGCAGTCATTGTCCTTGTCACCTCAGTCTGCAGTAGGCAACCAAAGAAGTGAAATCAATGCCCCACGTTTTGTACACCTGAAGTAGAAAAGGGAGTAAATGTTCAAGAGCCATTAATGCATTATATTCATATAGTTCCTCTCTCCTTACTCTTGTCTAGGTTCTCCAATCAGAGAATGGAAGCCAAATAAATGCCTTTGGAAAGTTGTTTCATGTGTTCGTTCAGGGCACATGCTGAGTCCACCAAGTCTTTAAGTGTTTAAAGGTTTCAGCCATGGAATAAAGGTTGTTAATTATACATCTGGCAATGATCTAATCTGATTTCCAAATAATATTTTCATAGAAACACCCCCTATACCCAGATAAGGAAATAACTGTCTAGTCAGGTGAGAGGATCACATCTCCAGTCAGAGCCTCTTACAATTTCAGAAATCAGGGGTACAATCACGTCATCATTAATTAAAGCCAGTGAGCATCAGGAATCATTTAGCAAGTCCTTTGATCAATACTTAAAGGCTGAAAGTCAGATGGAAAATTCTTGAAGTACATAAAAAGAGAAGCTAGTAGTTAATCTATGCATTATATGTATGTATCTATAAATGTTCTCATTTATATGTATCTACTTTTACATCATCTACTAATTAAGGACATCAGTTTCTTTCACCCAGTTATTAGGGCATTGTTGAGAGGTTTATCCTTCCTATAAAAATGAAAGGTATTCAAGTGCTGGCAAGGACAAAAAGAGCTCACACTTACTGCTATGTGTAGGCTTTAACAGCAAGTCCAAAAATGAGGATACTTCAGAAAGTTTGTGGAATAAGGGAATCAAAAGATTAGTTTTTTTGGTGCATGGAAGTTTGAAGTTCGTTCACATTTCTTTCATAAGACATTTCCATGAACTTTCTGAAGACTCCGTGTATGTCATTAAAGCCAGATAAGCTTTAAATGGGCATTAATATTATCATTTACATATGAGCAATGAGATTGGGAGGCTAAACAACTGTCCAGTGCACACATCTGGGAAATGGAAAAGAACTCCAACAAAGTCTTTTTATACGGAAGGGACAAGTAATTTTGAACAGGAAAAGCTAGTAATTGTGCAACAGGAAGAATGACATACAAAGGCATGGAACTTTAGAACAAAGAGAACAATGAAGTCACTTACCCAGTATATCTCTGTGAGTATAGAAACGTGTCTTAAACGGCTTGTATTCATGGATCCGTTTGAAGGTTTCTCCAAAAGGGGCCGGTGGAATTATTTTATTACAAACAGCACAGCAAACAAAGTGCGTGTGATTTGGATTTCTGATCATGGCTAAACATCAGGTGGCTTCTGCTACCTACTGTTAAAATAATTCTGAAATTAGAAAAGGGAACTTCAAGAGAAGCTAGAAGTGCAAGGAAGCTGGAAGAGGTCCGGGGTTCTTAGGAGACTGCTAGAGGCCAGGTAAGATGTGATCTGCCACACTGAGCTTGTGGCTAGGAGCCCTCGATAAAAGACTGCTACTGAGAGCCTCTGCCATAGAAGGTGTGGGCTCTGGATTTGGCAAGGTTTAAGCAGTGGCTCCCTCTCAGACTCTAGCATTAAATTGTTAACTAACTTAGCAACTGTTGCTAAGTAAAATAAGCTTTGCTCATAAAAGCAACTTGAAATAATGACAAAAGGGGGCGTGATGAAACCATTCATTTTCCTGGTATTTTCTGTGTTAGTTTCCAATTGCAGCTGTAACCAGTTAACATATACTTTATGACTTGAACAAAATTCACATTTATTCTCTTGTGTCTCTGGAGGTCAGAAGCCTGCAAGAAGAAATCCTTTGGTGCTAAAATCAAGATGTTGGCAGGGCTGGCTCCTCCTGGAGTGCCTAAGGGGCAAACTGCTTCCTTGCCTTTTCTGGTTTTTGAACTCAGGGTCTTGAATCCTACAGCCTTTCATGTCTAAGCTCTCACATTGTCATCTCTTCCTCCGTGTTCTACCTGTCCACGGACTACTGGGATCACACCAGTCTCATTAGGATAATTTGGGATAACTTTCCCATCTCAAAATCCAGAACTTTGTCACATTTGCCACTTCCTATATTCACAGGTTCCAGAGATTAGGATTTGGAAATTTTCACAGGGGAGGTGAGTATAAATCAGTCTGTCACACTTACCATTTTTTAAAACATTTATTTATTTTTATTTCAAAGTCAAATATACAGAGAGGAGGGGAGATGGAGAGGATCTTCTGTCTGATGAATCACTCCCAAGCAGCCGCAATGGCTGGAGCTGTGTCAATCTGAAGCCAGGAGCCTGGAGCTTCCTCCAGGTCTCCTACGCAGGTGCAGAGCCCCAAGGTTTTGGGCTGTCCTCCACTGCTTTCCCAGGCCACAAGCAGGAAGATGGATGAGAAGCGGGGCTGCTGAGATTAGAACTGGAGACCATGTGGGATCCCGGTATGTATAAGGCGAGGACTTCAGCTGCTAGGCTACTGAGCCAGGCCCCTATCACTTTTCTTTTAATGGAACTTTAAGAGAATTAGCTAAGATCAATAAGCAAGGTGGTTTCTTAAATTTTCATGCTATTTATAAATGTGATCCTTTGGTGTCAAGGCAGTAGAGTTGAGAAATATGGTATATTAAGGGAAAAATACTTTTAATAAGTCAGCTTCAAAGATACTAAGCATGGCTTTAAAAATCACATGTCCCTATGATTTTAGAAAAGCAGCTTTAGATATTCCTCTGATCATAAACACTATGCAATTGACTACCAGCAACTAATTTTTAAAAATGTCCTATCAACCATCTACAGCATCTACCCGGGAGGACTAATTTTACAAGGAATCAATGAAGTTAATTTCAGCAAACTTCCTAGGGTCTTCAGTTTAGTGTGGAACAAGTTATCTGTAGTTTCTTTTTCTTTTTTTTTTTTTTTAATTTTTTTAAGGATCTTTAAGGATTTTTTAAAAAAAATAGTCTCACATAGTTGATTAGGGCACAAAGGGTCAAGGGCTACAGGAAAGTGGGTAAGATTATTTTTTCCACACTAATATCATTTTTTCCCCTGTATCTGGGATCAGGGCAGAAACAAAGGGAGAAGCTCCACCCAGCCTCCCACCCATCCCAGGTCCCCGATGTGGGGCACGCTCTGAGGTTCCTACACAAGCAGTTTTTAACAGTGCAACAGTTCTGAATTGCTTCCAATCTTGCCGTTCCAAACACAATGAAATCTATTCAGAATCCACTGGCTGACATAGTCTCTTCAATGTAGTTTCCTTTTGAATTTATACCCTAACAATTAGCCCAAGACTTTAAATAAGTATATCAAATGGTGCCAGATTTACCTTCCCAAATATGGCTGGGGTGGATTTTGGCCTGAGAGCCTGGATTTGACTCCCAGCTAAGCAGATCCTGGCAAGAAGCATGTGTGGAGACCTGGATGGAGATTTCTGGCTCCAGCTCTGGATCCTCAGCTATTATGAACACTTGGGAAGGCTCTCTCTTTGCCTTTCATAAAATCTTCTGAAAATAAAGGGGTTGGTTGAGTCTGGAGAGGGTTAAAGAGAAAATAAATGAATTACTGCTGAGATCATTAATTACTTATCCCACACAGTTTATCATAGGGATTTGAAAACACGGCCACCCCTATCCATACGACCCTCTGGCCTGTTGCCAGCAATTCTTGCTTAGATAAAGCTGAGCTGGGCCCAACCCTAACCATTGTGGTCTTTTGGGAAGTAAACCAGAGGACCCTAACAGTTTGTAACAGCAGGATTCACCTTAAACTATTGAGAACACTATGTAAATTTAACAGCACTGGGCACTTTTATTATAGATAACATAATAATGAATAAATTTTACTTCCATTCTCATGGCATATATACAGGATGATTTAATAAGAGAAAAACATTGAGAGGCTCTTTCTGTGAAAACAGAATGGTAGCCACATCAGTTGTTGGACAACATTTATCATAGTAGTCTAGATGTAAATGCCATCTTCTCATTAGCATATTTCAGAATTAGGAATCATGATACTGTGCACTCTGCAGTCTTCAAATGGAAGATTTCACTGTTAACAATGCTCCCTCTGCAGTAAGTTTCAGCATTAATCCCATTTAGATGTTTTCCTCCTCATATAACTATGTCCTTCGCTATCAATAGCTTCATAGAGATTGCTTTTGTTCTCTTGTGTTGCATGTAGATAACCAATGTAAGCCACGCAAAGTGAAAGGGTTACCAATCCGAAAGCCATTACAGGTTTGTTCTGTCAAGGAAAGAAGAATTATAAAGCCTCATTAAGACTAATAATTTGAGATCCAATTATCTACTGTGTTTCCCCCTTGACATGCTAGGTCTTCATTACCAGACTAAACACTCCTAATACCTCAATTATGATCATTTATTCAATTCTTCAGCCAACTCACTCAACTCCAATTTTGAGATAAAGACTCTGGCCTGTCCTCTCCCTTGTTCCTTTTCTTTATAACCTGGCTATCTCAAACCTTCACAGCTGACAGGAGTGAGGTGCAGAAATTGGACAGGTGCTCGGTTTTCCATGTTATCTGTGTAACACGGAGAAGTTGCTTAGCTTCTTTGGGACCAACACTCCATATTTGCAAATCTCCAATTAGTTCATTTTATTAGAAAGCAAAAAATGAAGTGAACATGTTATTCTTGCCCAAGTTATTGGAAATTGCCAAAAAATCTTCACAAGGTTTCTCTGGCAACCTCCTCTATTACTTCCAGAAATTCAGTGAATGGAACAAATATTTATGCTGTCATAATAATTTTGATTTCTTGCTGGAAAATTCAAAACCCTCACAGGCAAAGTGATGGAACTCTGAATTTTAAAAAATAAATATAGGAAAGACGTACACAATTGCAAAATGCTTTGCCTGACACACTGCATGATCAGGGAAACTTAGATCTGCCTTTCTTCATTTTCATATTCCTCAAATTTGCCTTAGATTAAGTGGAAATACACAGAACTGATACAAATAATACTTGGTGCTGTGTCAGCATATCTGTTGTACTATACGAGTACCCCCTGACTAGAGAGAACATGTTCCAATACCCCTAGTGCATGCCAGAAATCCTACACAGCACTGAACTGTGTCTTCTCCCATATGTAAGTACTTTATACTGTAATATGAATAATACGAACATGCCATCTCTTAATTCAAGAAAGGATTAAGACAAATACTAAAAATTTCAACCTACAGTTATCTTTAGGCAACTGAAACCTCAGAATCTGAAATAATGAATAAGGAGAGGGGGTAGACAACTGAACTAGTCTTTCAAATCCCGACACAGAAAGGGAATCAAACGTTTTCACTTGGATGAACATCTAAGAAAGGCCACAAGCTCGAAGCAGTTTTATCTATAATTCTTGAGATGCTTTAGCAATTAAAAGAACATATTAGTTTGAAGAGTTTAAACATTTTAACTTTAATGATTTAAGTTGACCTACATGACTTTGAATAGTTCACACCAGCCACTGTTAAAAAAATTCGAATCAGATTCCATACACTTAAATATCTTTATAATAATTTGATCTCATTCATATGCTTTAAAATAAAATAAAATTTGTTCACTAATTTGCAACAATACTAATAATCATTAATAGCACATAAATATTTTGGAATTCTTCACAAAATGTAATAGCACTTAGCTTCTTAATAAAGTCTGGAATTGCAGTTTTAAAGATAATCATACTTCATTTTGGTTTGTTGCAGTAGGAGGCCTATAAAATTGCCTTTAAAATTGAAATGAAACTATTGGAATAGCAGAAGGGTATTTCTATGAGTTCATGGAAATTAAGGTAAGTTTAGGGGCTAGTGTTGTAGCTAAGCACATTAAGCTGCTTGTTGCTTGCAATGCGGATATCCCATTTCAGATGCCAGTTTGAGTCCTGGTTGCTTCAATTCTACTGCAGCTCCTTGATAATGTGTCTGAAAAGGCAACAGAAGATGACTCAAGTATTTGGGCCACAGCCATCCACATGGGCAATCAAGCAGGAATTCTAGAAGCCAGATTCTGGTCTAGTCCAGCTGTGACTATTACAGTTATTTGGAGAGTGGACCAATGCATAGAAGTTTCTCTCTCTCTCTAAGTTTACCGTTGAAATGAATAAATATATGTACATATACTTTAAGGTTTATTTTATCTTTATTGGAAAGGCAGATTTACAGAAAGGAGAGACAGAAAGATCTTCCATTTGCTGGTTCCATCCTCAAATGGCTACAACAGTCAAAGCTGAGCTGATACAAAGCCAGGAGCCAGGAACTTCTTCCAAGTCTCCCATTTGGGTACAGGGTTCCAAGGACTTGAGCTGTCTTCTACTGTTTTCCCAGGCCACAAGCAGGGAGCTGGGTGGGAAGTGGAGCAGCTAGGACATGAACCAGTGCCCATATGGGATCACAGTGCATGCAAGGCGAGAATTTACCTGCTGAGCCATCATGTTGGGCCCCAAAATATATATTTTTAAGAAGTTAATTTATGTGCAAAAAAATTAAAACCTATGCATACTTGTACTTTACTTCGAGAAACTGACCCATAAAAATATAACCATTATCCATTATAATTCTCAATGTTCTTAACACATTTCATTTTGTAAGTGTATTTGCATGCCTGTGAAACAATGTTTAAACATCTTCTTTTTACTTGCTTTTATTCACAGAGCAATCTCGTAAGTCAATATAAAATTTCCATGATTAAATTAGGCAAAATAACAACTTCCTATTTCTGAATGCCTGTTAAACATGAAGTCTTATCTTGGATATATTTCTTACAGGTTTAATGAAGAGCTCCGGATTCACGGCTCGAAATAAGGTGGTTGTGCGCACCCCTCTGAACCCTGGGTTTTGAAAGTCTTTCTCTTTAGGTGGCTCCTTTTTAAGTGTTGGAGGTTCAGTTGCTGAAGACATCTTGACTAATGATGACTTAATACCTAGAAACAAAATAATACATTTACCCTTTGTAATTGTTTCTTGATAAACTTTTTAAAAAGTATCTTAAGTTCATTTTTTTAAAATTCCAGCCCAGATATTTACCAAGGTGATTGTCATTTACCTTATTACTTAACCTTATTGTCTTACCCCAATCATTCTCACTTATAATTTATACTTTGTAAATGGTCCTTTAAGTTTTGCTAAAATGGTTTACTACTTTTTCACCTGTTAAAATAAACC